CAAGAACAGTCGCACAAGAAAGATACACAGTAAAGCCTTTGGTTAAATTTATATTAATATTGTAAGTCTATGACAATTTTAAAATAAAAAACCTACCATTTTTATTAATTTTCAGTATTGTTAGGTCTATGAAAGAGAAATCTCCTAGTTGACAATAGAAGCCTATTTCCAAGAGTCATCTCTGCTGCATTCAGCATGTATGGGCAATAAAGCACCAATAAATTCAGGTACAGGTTTTAGAAGTAACTAACACCTTAGTCTGTGTATAGACTGAATTTATTTCTTTCAGTTGATAATTCAAATGGAACATGTTTACAATATCAGTCTCTTGCATTAATAGTGTTTATGCTTGGTGATCATCTTCTAGTTTGGGGGTTTGTATATCTTATGTACACACAACACAAAGCAAATATTAAGCAAATCCAATCTAGTACTCTTAAAAATGAGTACTGCATAAACAAAACATAAGTGCACATGGCAATTTTATGTTCTAAATCCACCCACACAGTTGTTCTCAGCAATTCAAGAACAGAGTTGCATGGGTAGATTGACAGAATTTGAGTTACAGACATCTGCGCTGAAATAATGATCAGCATATGAAGGTTTTGTTCATTAAGCAACCAATTAAGGTCTTGTTCTTTATCCTCAGAAAGAAAATAAATACAATAATCACAGCAGCAACAACAACAAAAAGGCAGAACAAGCTCAAGATAACTCTGCTTCTTTCATTCACTCCCAGAAATCTACTCATCTTGAAACATAATCTTAGTGCTATTCCAAGAACAAGCCCTGATAAACAAACCAGCATGTATAAAACCAGTGATCTTAAAAATCTGTAAAATATTGAATAAACTACAGGATCCTATTGTCTTTAGCTGCTGCCAATACCACACTGCAGTTAAAGATACAAAATCTCTAACAGACCAGATGTCAAAATGCCAGTTGCCACGAATTGTTCATTTCAGAGTCCAAAAAGTCAGAGCTTACCTTAAAGTCCAAAGGAGGAAGGCTTTTCCTTCCAGGACACTTTGCTTCTATTAACTGTACATAGTTTTATGGGCTTCAAAGATGCTCAATCTTTGTTTGAACCCCGCTAGGGTGAGTGGCCTCATATTGCCCCAGTTACTTCCTATGGCAGCAAGTTTTACAGCCTAAATACCCATTAGGTCAGCAAGTCTGATAAGCAAAGCAGTCTTGGCAAAAGTGTAGAGACTAAAGCAAAAGGTGAACCAAAGGTCTAAGACAAAAGCAAGTTTCTTCCTTTAAAGGAAAGACTTCATGCTATTTTTTTTCATGGAATGTTCCCATGCTCCTGTGGTACACGAACAACAGCAGAAGCTCCACTTGTAACTGTAATTTTATTCGTGTCATCCTCCCATGCAGCTCTCTTGCAAGGTAAACAACTCCCCATCTTCAATTTTGTGAGCTAAAACAAGAGGGAGATCGCACCTAGGTTTTGTTCCAACAGCTTGAAGCAGCAAAGTTTCACAGCTTACTTTTAAGCATCAAGACTTAAATTGATTAACTGAAAAAGAGGATAAATTTGTACATTTCTCACAGCCTCCTCAGAGCTCCAGGGCATGAACCTTTTTTTTTCCTGTGGCTTTCAGTCAATACTGGATGACTTTTCAAGAACGTGATTCAAGAAACCAATGAAGCAAGAACTAGCTATACAAAGGTGTTACCTCAATGCATGACCTGCCACAAAACCTCTGCTCCTCCAGTACTGTAGCATGTATTAATACTGGGGAAAAAAAGGGCAGAAAAGCGAGATACAACACAACCTTAGTGAGTTTACCAGGCACACCTATTTATTCTGGCAAATGCTAAAAGACCTGAACAGGAGGAGCTATAGTGCAGCTGCAGACAAATATGCCCAGGAAAGATTCCAGAGACATTATAATACGAGCTAGATCCCATGGATTTCAATAGGTCAGGACTGTTACGACATAAACCTAGCCATGATTCACAGCATTACACTCTAAAGGAATATGTATTCCTCATCTTCCGGGTCTTCTGCTCCATTACAGGCAGACTTGTAATCAAACATAACTTTCAGATTCTTTTTCTAGGGAAAATTCTTTTCCACCATAAATTATGCAGCACATCTTCCAGTTCATTAATACTACCTACTCTTGAAAGCTACAGGGATTTCACAATTCTTCCTGTAACATTTACAAAATATTTCCATAAATTTCCTACTTGCTGAGCAAATAACATATCCTCTCCAGTTAATGTTCCTAACACAGAGTCAGAACATTGACTCAAGGCATCACGTATGGAGCATCCAGCTGGTTCTCTCTGTGAGAGGAAAGCACAGACAGAGTTTGAGGGATTAAAATTTCACCAAGAAGAAAACCTGCTTTCAGGGCAACAGGCACAGGTAAGAATCAGTGCAGCAGGGACCTACACTTCTGGTTCATAGCCCTGCTGTCAGAAGTAAATGGATGTGCAGGGTTCCAAAGGGCTTTCCTCGTTAGTGAGCAGTGGTTGTCCTGTGTAGGACATGTCTGTTCGCAGGGGGATAAATCCAAGACAACTCAAGGCTCCATTTTGCCACCACCAAACTCAAATTCTAAAATCTAAGCAGAAGGCGTTACACGGGTGGGTAAAGAAATCATATCACACACATTTTTATATGAGTATTTTACTTTCTAAAATATCTGCTATGAGTACATCTTCCCCCAGCTTATAAGCAAAGTACATTTTAATAATTTTCACTCAGTACATGACCACAGATATTTTTATAGCAAGCATATCTGCCAAACTGTATGTGGGACTCTTAACAGGCAATGATCTAACCGGTGTGGGTCACTAATAATTAAAAATTACCAACAAATAACACTTTTTAGTAAGGCCTCAGTATGTTTAATCTTATCCAACAGCAGGTAACTCACAGTGCGAACTCCACTCGTGAATTTGCACTGTTAGACTGATAATAGCAGGATGTTCTGGATCACTGACAAGATCCCAGCTGGCACCTGCCTGTGGCCCTAGGCAGGCATACAGTGACCAAGGAACACCACAGGCCTCTGGGCTGCACGCATGGCAAAGCCCCACCACATCCCACTGCAGCTGGGGGGCTGCTGACTTCTCATGAATGTTAAACTCACAAACAGGAGCAGCATCGTATCACATTCCCCTGGTTCATGATGCTGATTTCATTTAACAAAAGTCTTATTTTACCCAACGAATTATACATTTCAAATGTTTTTGAAAGGCGGCAGGATAGAAAGGAATCACATTCTAGAGGCACTCAAATCACTTGTTAGAGACACAGAGATTGTCTTAGAAAACAAAACTGCTGCTCTCCCTTTTGCAAAATGTGGAATACGTAACATTTTCTTAAGAAAGGATGTCCTTTGACGTTTGATCATTGAGTACTTTCAGGCCTAATCGACAAGAAAGGAGATTTAATCCATGAAACAGAGACCAGATAACAAGCAAGCTCCAAGTGACATCTGTGTTAGAAAGAGAAACTACTTGTTGGGAGAACTGCCTTGTTAAGGTTTAGGGCTTGACGCGCTCCAATGATCTCAGACCTAGGGGGAGGTTAACAAAGCTTGGGAAGAAGGATGTACCACTGAGTGTGGACACAAAGAATGTAGAATTTATGGGCCACAAGAACACTGGACAGAACTCCCAAGATAAGTAAGAAACCAATAAGGACAACTCAGCAACTGTGCTCAATCAGCTCTGACGGGGTGAAAGGTAATTCTGCCAGGGGGAGAGCGTGACCAGAATTACCAACTTGCAGACTACCAACTCCAGAAACCCACCGACTCAAGACAAAGAATGAGCATGCAGACTAATCAGCATGAGAAGCGAGAGAATAATTAACTGATAGAATTAATAAGGACATTATGTAACTTGCAGCCAGTAAACATTAATGCCTTTGTTTGCTAAAACGTATAAATAGGAAAAAGGTTTGATAGTGGGCGTGTTGGATCTGTGCTACACCACCAAGCACCCAGGCTTGCACAGCTCTGAAATAAATAATCAATGTATCAGCAAGAGTGTGGCCAGCAGGACGAGGGAAGTGGTACCTGCCCTGTGCTTGGCACTGGTGAGGCCACACCTTGAGTCTTGTGTCCGGGTCTGGGCAGGAAGGACATTTTGGTGCTGGAGCACATCCAGAGAAGGGAAACAAAGCTGGTGAAAGGTCTGGAGCACAAGTCTTATGAGGAGCAGCTGGGGGAGCTGGAGGTGTTTAGCCTGGAGAAAAGGAGCCCCAGGGGAGCCCTCATCACACTCTACAAGTACCTGTAAGGAGGCTGTAGCCAGGTGGGGGGCAGCCCCTTCTCCCAGGCAACAAGTGACAGGATGAGAGGAAACGGCCTCAAGACGTGCCAGCCTCAAGAAGGTTTAGGCTGGACATTAGGAAGAATTTCTTCACAGAGGGGTGATTAGACGTTGGCATGGGCTGTCCAGGGAGGCGGTGCAGCCACCGTTCCTGGAGGTGTTTAAGGAATTCCGTGACACGGTCTGGACTCGGTGACCTCGCCGATCTTTCCCAGCCTGTGTGACTCCGTAATTCCCGGCCTGCAGCACTCCGGGCAGTGCCCCCTCCCCGATCACATCGCACACCCACAACCCTCCCCCCATCCCCACACGCTCCCCCCCTCTCCCCTCACGCGCCGAGCCGGGCCCACCCGCGCGCTCCCGCGGCCCCGCCCACTGCCCCGGGGTGCCCCCACCGCGCCAGCCGGGGGGCGGGGCCTCGCCTCCCGCCCTCGCTGATTGGCCGACGTAAGACCTGCCCCCTTCCACCGCCCTTCGCGCTCCCGCCCGACTTGCTTGGGGGGCCCGGGTTTTTTGCCTGATTCAAAGTTGTCGCTAGGCCCAGTTTCTTCGCGAGTGGCGGGCGTGCTTTGAAGAGAGGCGCTCCCGCTGCCCTGTTACAGGCTCCTGTATTTTGCGCCGGATTTTTTTTTTTTTTTTTACCTTTTTCCTTCGGCGGCGTCCCACGCAGGCGGTCGTGCCGCGTGCCCGCGGGGCCCTCGACCGCTGCGGCGCCTCGGAGCAGCCGGCGGCGGCGGGGGTCCTTTCCCGGCGCGGTCGCAGTGGCGCCCCCCGCCCGCCATGTACTACAAGTTCAGCGGCTTCGCGCAGCGCCTCGTCGGGGCCACGGCGGCCGCCGCCTACAGCCCGCAGGTAACGCACCCGGCAGGGGCTGCGGCCGGGCCGCGGGGGACCGACCGCTCCGCCGCGCACGGAGCGCACCCGGCCCCTCGCGTGACCTTGGGCGGGCCCCTCGCGGGCCGTGGGTGTATCGGGGGTCGCGGAAAGGGCTTAACACGCCGTCACCGCACGGGACGGGCCTCGAGCGGCAGCAGTGGCCGGGGGTGGTTTAGAATCACGGGATCAGTTAGGCTGGAAAACGCCTTAGGGATCATCGAGCCCAGCCTGTGACCGAACACCACCCTGTCAGCCGGGGCACCGAGTGCCCTGTCCAGACTTTCCTTTAACACCTCCAGGGACGGTGACTCCATCATCTCCCTGGGCACCTCCAATTTCTGATCCCCATTTCTGTGAAGAAATTCCTTCTGATGTTCAACCTAAACCTCCCCTAGCACAGCATAGGATTGTGTTCTCTTGTCCTGTTGCTTGCCGTCTGGGAGGCTGACCCCCGCCTGGCTACAGCCTCCTTTCAGGCAGTTGTGGAGAGTGATGAGGTCACCCCTGAGGCTCCTCTTCTCCAGGGTAAACATCCCCAGCTCCCTCGGCTGCTCCTCACAGGATCTGTGCTCCAGACTCTCACGAGGCCCGTTGCCTTTCTCTGGAGTCACTCCAGCACCTCAATGTCCTTCTGGAATTGAGGTGCCCACAACTGGGCATAGGACTGTGAATTACAGCTGGCAGGTCAGAGCAGTCCTGCAGCCAGTCCCCTCTCTGTTCATGTAGGAAAAAAAAATTACTGGAAGCATTAAAACCCTTTTCAGAGAGGACACAAATCTATAGAAGCTTGTTTAAAGCAAAATAAACCACTTTTCTTGTACTATCCTTAGCTGTGTCACACAAATGTGCTCTGCCATAGAATAGCTACATTTTAAAGAGTTACCTTCAGTCCCTTTTTGCAATGTTCTTAGGCTAGGCCAGATTTTTGGTAGAATTTTCTTTTTTTTTTCCTTAGTTTGACTCAATTCCCACATCAAATCACACATTCAGATTCATCAGTCTGATAAAAATGTTTTCAATAAATAGCAATTTAAATATGAAAGGAATCTCATGAGTAAGTAGGTTGTTAAGTCCAAAATGAAATAAATTTATTCCTATTAATTTCATTGCTTTATTTCATAAAACGATAGCCCAGCATGTAAAGTGGTTTGCTTTTTATGCTTCTATTTATTTTGATGTTTCTGGAAAAATGAAGGCATCCTATGGTTCAAATTCTGCTTAGTCAAATATTCAGTGCAGTAATTCACTCTGTTCTGTGCTGTTGCATTCTGATGCTTCCCAGTGGAAATGGGAAGTGCTCTGTGCAGGTTTAGGCTAATTGCGGGCTTGCAAAATATCAGTCAAAATGTTTTCCAGAAATTCTTTTGCTCACAGTAACTTAACTAGCAGCGTATTCTAACAAAAAATTCCCTGAGTTTTAAGTGTGTGGTGTTCTTTCCATCTCAGTCCTAGCATTCTTAGAAGACTTAAGTTTTACATTTAACAAAGTTGCATAAAATAGTCTGAACAATTCAGCTTGTTCGAATAAATGGGAACTTCCTCAGCTGATGCAGTTGAGGAGTCAAATAGGTTGAAAACTACTTCTCATATTTGGTAGGACAATGACTGCCATAACCATTACAAGTGCAATGAAAAGTATTCATTCAAAGAGGTGGTTTCTGTTTAAAGTACAAACAGTGGGACCAGTTTCAAATGTCAGGTGAGGACAAGGATATGAACTTTTCCCTAGTTCTTCAAGGCTGAACATGAGCCAAGTAGAAGTTTAGGTACGCTACCGGATCTTCACCTGATACAACTTATTTTGCTTGTATCTATTTAAGCTCCCTGTGAACCACAGATCTTTTCATTTTTATCCCCTATCAATTGCTTGGAGTTTGTTGAGAAGCTATAATGGTCAACCTTTTATGCCACAGGCGTTACTTAATAGGTGCACAAGATCCCTTTTACTTAAATGTGTGTCATCCCAATACAAACAAAGCCTCAGGTGATCCTACCTAAGAGCATCTTTGTGTCAGATAGAACAATATTTTAACCTCATACAGTGGGGTGTGTTCTACTATGGAGGACCTGCTGTTTAGGTTAGAAGTGTCTAGCTTCAGCAAGTTCATGGAAGTTATTTCAATGTGTGTTCTGAAATACTAATTCTCAGTTTAACTTTCTTTCCCCTTTTCTTTTTGGTCCTTACCTCAGTTTTCTCTACTTTCTCATTCTCTAATCTGTTTGAGCAATTCCCCCTAATGTTTAAAAAGTTGAGTGTGGTGCTGTCTCCATTAAATTATGCTCCAAATCCTTAACTGTTCTGTGCTGTTGGGAACATGTCCATCTGACTTGCAGATTCATACTAGAAAGGGATAAATTTGTTTTAACTTTGAGCATGATGGCCAACCAACAGATATACTGTGTCCTGAGACCTTCAGACCTCTGAGAACAAACACTACAGCAGGGTAGGCAGAGAATTCTGTTTGCTATTTTGGATTAGCTACGTGTCTTGACCTTTCTTGGAGGACTTCAGCATCTCAGAAAGTCTTTGCTGTACTGTGCTGATGAAATCAGCTGATGTTGACTGTTCTGCATGACTACCTCTGCTGTACGTTGTCCAAGAATTGGAAAAAACCCATGTTATAGTGACTAGAAATAAAAGATAAGGACCTTAATCTCAGAAGAGGAATTATCAATGTGTAACATCTTTTTAATGAAGCTTATAAGGTCAAATGTGCAGAGGCATTAATTCCTCAGTACTATCCAGAGTATAGCCAGATACTGATGTTTTTAAATCTCTTAAATATAGTTTTAGTAATGTTAAATACAAGTGACAAGGGTCATTTAAGGTGTCTCAGTTCTTACTTAAAAATGATCTGCAGTGAAATTCGGCCATGACGTTATAGTGAGGATTTCTCTTCAGTCATGCTAAGCTTAGCAAGCAGCTGAGGCTGAGATAAAGCACTTGCCAATAACCCCAGACAAGGACCCAATAGGAACAGCCAGGCAGTTACACTGATTTAGCTGAGCTACTGTGGAGCTGACCACAAGATTCACAATTCATGGATGGAATTCAAGTGGAATTTTATGTTGGAGTGAGGAACCCTGATTAATGCAGTGTCTGTGTCAGGCAAACTGAATGCTCTCCCTTCTGCAGCACGTGTTTTGTTTTACTCTTTCCTGGAGCCAGCGAACCACATCAGTAGTTTCCATTTAAAGTGCCATATGATGTTCTTAACTGGTGCTGTGCTGCTCTGGAAGTAATTTACAACAGTGCGCTGATGATTATATGAGTTTTCTGAAATGGTTTAATTTGATTTCCTGATGAAGTTGGACCATTATGAGTTGGGTCTGAATCTGCTATGGCTGCAGCAGAAGGGGAATCCTATAACTATCTGAACAGGAATGTTATTTCTAAAGCCAGAAGAAGTGTGCAATTAACCAATAGTGTGCGGTTAACTAATAGTTGTTAACACGACTGATTTCACTATTCCAGTAGTAATCCATAGAGTGTGTCTTGCATCTAGGCAGTATCCTGGAGGTGCAGGAGTTTTAGTGCTAGTAACAAATGGTAGGGATTGCCTCCTATCTCTGAGTTTAGGAATGATCAAAGAAATATCTTTATCCTGAAGCTGTTGGAAGTAGTTTACAGCATACTCCAATTCTCAGTATTTACATTTTTCACATACTACAGATAGTTCATGAAATAAAGTAGACATGATCACAACGAGCAGGAATTGCAGTGATTTAGTAACTGTGGGAGTTGCTAGATAGCACTGCTGCTGAAAAAGGTGGGCTCTCAAGAAGGTGAAAGTGAGATTCAGAATTGGAACTTTTAAGGCAGAGGAGAGATGTACATTTTCACATTTGTTGCGATACTAACAATCAAGAAGGCAAGAAAAGTTTTGGAGAAAAAGTCATCTGCACATGTGGTGTAAACATCTGGTCTGCAGTTCTATCAAATCACCAACCTTTTAAAGACAAATCTAACAAAGCACTTAAAGTTCCTATAGACAAAAATATTGGTCCAAAATTGCTTTCTTCAAGTCTTTTGACATAGCTGGTACTTAGCCTTGGATATATAGTCAGCAATGGCTAAAAATAGTTCCTTAGATGCTTCCTTCTTACCAGTATGACCAGAAGTGTCACGGTTCTTAAATAATTCAGCCTTTGCCTTCTGCACAAGCCTGTTCAGTAGAAAGGCAGTTGTTACTGAATATGCCAGAGAATGCAGTTTTGGTTGCTGTCTTTCAAAACGTAACTGGGAAGGTCACAAATGGATTCTAATATTCATTTAGGCACTAGAACCGTGGGAAACTGAACCCACATCTCCCGGATAGAGCACTGATGACCATTCCATAGGCTGTTTTGGGAGGCTGAGAAATCTGGTCTTTTTGCTGAAGATGCCTGTTGTAGCAGAGAATTTACATATGGAAAGGACGTGTCTGGTATATGGCAGGCATAAGAGTGCTAGTCTGATTCCAGCTCCAAATACTGTTCAGGCAGTTCTTTTAAATACAGAATGCATTAACCAGTGCTTTCAACAGAAACTAGAATTTCAGTGCAGTCTGAACTTGACCCATGGAGAGCACTTGCTGCTTCTGTGTGTAGTGAAAACCTGTTGCATTAATCTAACTGTACAATGTTTTTAATTCTGAATCAACTTAGAAAAAAAAATTATGACTGTTTCAGGAGCCATAATATAAAAATCACTGCCATGTGTCCAGGCATAACTTTTAAATCTAACTAGAGTAAAGGCAAGGAGGATGTCATGATGGCTGTGGCTTTGTGCCCTTAGGCACAGAACTGGATTATGTAGGTTTTAGTTATGGCAAAGTAGAGTACAACCATCTGAACCAAGGGGAAATTGAGGTGTGCTGTTCATGTGGAGTTTACAGAGGTGTGGCAAGTTGCAGCAACACATGAATTACATGATATAGTTATGTCTGCATAAAATATCCACCACATCAGGGCCTCTGGAGTGTCCCTGAGTACCACTTATGACTTCTGTATGACACAAGTGATCCTAACCTTTTTTTTTTTTTTTTTACTGAAAACATGCTTCCAAATTATTTAAGGCTAGGTTATTTATGACTACTACTTGGAGCATTCAGAAGGTAGAGTTCATTTGCCACTCCAATCCTAGTATCAGGGTTGCTTGCTTGTAATCCTACTGCTCACAGAAGTCCTAGATAGTCTGACTATGTGCAAAATACAAGCAGTAATTTGGACCAAGTACCAGCACAGAAAAGCAATAGCTATAAGTTTATGCCATGAGGAAATTGCAGAGGAGGCTCCTAATTTCCTTGCTAAGCTCTGACCCAAAGATGTTGCTGAGAAATCAGTGGGCCGGCAGCATGTCTGGAGCTCATTGTCACAGGTCTTCATACCAGATAAATAGTCTCTGTAATGTATCCTTGTAATGACTGGCAGCGTGCCTGCCTAACCTGACAGTTGGTACATTTGCAAGTGTTATATACCTTGATATGTTAATCTTTATTTATGCAGGGACTCAAACCAATAGTTTCCACTGAATCCCCAGCTCCGATTTCTGGGACAACAAGTAAACTTGCTTCAGATTTTCCAGCAACTGATTCTTACTTGGCTAAAAACAAGGTACCAGACCTACAGAAAATTTTTCAGGTAATGACAACTTTGAGAGTAACTTACAGAAAACTGGAGAGTGGGACATATCTGTCCTTATTTTAATTAAGCTAACTTCTTTTGTCATTCTATAATACCTAAATTCTGTAAAGTCTAAAGAAATGCCAAGTGCAGTATAACCTGTACACTGGTACTATACTGCAAAGTGTATATATGCCTTGTATAGGAGACAAGTACAGGAGGTGGAAAGCCTAGTAACATTGTCTTTTTGCTGGCTTCAGAAGATGTTTGTTGTGTTATTTGACTACTGAAAGCCCTTTCTCTCTGGAAATCCAAGCATTTGCCTTAAAGCAGATCTGAAGGAGCAAAGCAGATCGTTACTATTCTCTGCATAGTTATTTGAATATTACTGAAGCTGTTTATAATGCAGTATAAGAACAACACAGTAAAGTTTTCAAGGCCAGTTTGTTAGCTATGCAATTTCTAGGCATATTAGGACTTTTCATGAAATAAATTAGTTCAGCCTTTTTTTTTAAAGCATGTGCTTCATATAATGTTCCCTTTTCTCTCTTACATGCCACTTGCACGTGGAGTGTGTCAGTTTGAATATTTTTTTATACCCATCCTTTTATGTTCTTTTTTTAGTGACACTTTTTCCATCCAGGTCCTCTTGAGAAATGTTTCAGTTTATATTCTTTCTGCTTGCACTTAACAGCTTTGGCTAACAAAATTAACATGCCTTTGCTCATTTGCCTTGCTAGATAGAAACCACAGCATACACTTGATTGTAGCATATTTGCCAGGGGGTTTCCCTCTTGGAAGTCTCCTAATTTACGCAGGGTAGCTTGTTCCTTAATGACCTTGGTATGGGTGTTAATTTCTTTTTTGTTTGTTTTCTTTTTGAACTGTTCCCACAGAGAGCAGACGGACTGCCAGTACACCTGAAACGAGGAGTGCCAGACAGGCTGCTTTATCGGACCACAATGGCTCTAACAATAGGCGGGACTATCTATTGTCTGGTAGCTCTGTACATGGCCTCACAACCAAGACAACAAAAATAAATGAACCACAACTCATGGGACTCACAACACCTCTCTGAAGGACCTCCTGCACGCATCTCTTTGCACTTGATTCTGTGGTCACATAGGGTTCATTATTCAGATTAAATTTCTTGGAGAAAATGGTTTTAAATTTGTTGCCTTATGTATTCTAAAAAACTATAAATGGTCAAATACATAATTTTAACATATGGTTGTAGTTTTTGTTGTCATGCAGGAATGTATAAAGAACTGGAGAAAGTTAAGCTTTTCCTTCCTTCCCTCCCCCCAGCTTAAACAGTGTTAGAGAGAGGACAGGACAAATACTTGTGGGCTATGAACCACATTCCTTAGTGGAAGGATGCTGCTAGTTTCGAAAACACTAAAAGCAAATAATTTAATTATGAAAGCATACTGTACTGGGAACTTTTTCTGTCATATACAGCTCATTTTACAAAAGCAGTTGGCAGTGTAACTTTTCCAAATGCTGGTATATTATTAAATATTTGTACCTCTGGTGGTAGGATAAAGGAGCATTTAAAGTGGATTTATTCCATAACTTCAGCATCAGTGTATGCAGCAGAGTGCACCAGTATGGTAGCATCAGTTATACTGGGTTTTGGAACTTTCATTTGTCAAATTATATTATTGTGCAATAAAGATAAACTACATGAATACTAAACTAGGCAAGTCTTGAAATTCGTTTCAGACCACTTCAGCTGGCCTGATAGGGAAATAAACATATTGGTACATTTTTAAGTTCAACTTGTAGATCTCAAACCAGGCCATTGATTCAGCTACCTTACTGTCTTCTTTTTGAGATAGTAAATCTCTTAAAACCCTCTCTCAGATCTCATTGAGTGTTTAATCTTTAGTACAACAGGCCACTGTCATAACTCAGCTGCTTATTATTTTCAGTGCCCACACATTTATGTACCCACATACACGCACATTTCCTTTGTTGTGTGGGTGGAAGAGGGACAAGTCAATAAAACCATTTATGGATTCCCTTTCCCTTGTAATAGCATAGCCTTGGACTGCAAGCTTCATACAAGTCCTCACAAAAAGCATCCTCTAATTTGATAGATCCTCTTCTGGCCCTGAACATCGATTATTCACTCTTGCTCACCCAGGCACTGGATAAGCATGGATTTACTGATCTCTGTAGAGACCCTTCTCTCCCAGAACTCTGCATAAACAACCTTCAAAGTAAATAAGAAAACCCATTGATAAAGGAACCTAAAACTTCAATTTTTTCAATCTTTTACTAAAAACATTCTGATTTTTTCCCAGTCAAGTTACATCAAAGCCTTATTACTGTTCCATAGGAAAGAAAATAGCTGTTTGTATTATGATCTCGGATTTCAGTCAATATTAGTATTTCAGGATGAGAGAGATTTAAGTCACTGAAAAATAATTCTGTAAGCACAGCAAGAGCCAAAGAATAGCATAGACTAACTGAATTCTGCAGGAATTGACAGCTGTGTTGCTTCTACTGATAACATATTTTATCCTCAGTAGTCCATGCTTCCATGGCACTAAGAATCTTCTGCTGTAGCCTGCTAAATCCTACAAAAAACAAAACAAAAAAACCCCAGTCACAAAACAAAAAAATCGTGAAAGAAAATAAGAAAGAGAAAGCAGCACAGTAGGTTACTGTCTGTCTTTCCCACACACCCTCTATTAACCACTGTCTACAAGAATTTTCTAATAAAGGATACTTTGCACATAAACTTGACTGATAGATTTTCAAGAAGACTAGTTTTGCTCAGTGTATTTCCATGCTCTTCGTTTTTTGAATCAGTTTTGAGTTGTTTTTTTTTTGTAGAGGATGGGTTTGGGGCTTGTTTTGTTTGTTTTGTTGTGGGGGTTTTGTTTGTTTTAAAGAACTGGTTTTAAAGTATATACAGAGGATAACAACTTTCTGCTTGCTGCCAAAGCAGATGTGGGTAAAGTAATTAAACTGTTGTCCCATAGCTCATTAGCCAGTGGGAATACCCTTCAAGTACTTGTGGAAGGAATGACAGACTTATCACTCAGGTCCAGCTTGCCTACAGGGAAATCAGCTAGGAGATTGAGTTCATGGGTTGCTATAGAGGTCATGGTTGAAGCTATGGATATCAGAATTTTCTTCCTATTGCCCTGAGCCTAGCTTTTTCCAGCTCTTTGTCAGCTGGTAAAATCATTGTGCTAAAGGGAAGAGAAACCCCCATCAGATTTTGCAAATAAACAGAGACTACCTAATCCATTGCCTTTTTGTTTTTTGGTTTTTTTTTTTTCCTCTCCAGCATTTGGAGTTTGAAAAACTATTTTCACTTTGTCCTTCTCAGAAAAGATGACCCCTGTTGAAGGTTCAGAGTGCTGCTTCAGCTCGGATTCATATCCCTGGTTCAGTTGGAGGTTAAAGAGCAAAGAGTATTGTCTGCAGTCAGTGAAACAGCTCCAGCCCTGAAAGGAGACTGCATTTTTGTATTCTGACAGCAATGTGTTCTGAAAAAACAGGAAAGCTTGCAAGCTGTAAGTTGTGGGAGCAAAATCTTGCCCTTTTTTCTCAATTAGTTTTGAGATCATCATAAAGAAATTACAACATGGAAAATGCTTTTTCCCCTTAGAAAAAAAATCTCAGTTAAATATCGGCCTTAAAACATTTCTGACGCCAGACTTCTGTGAGGATTCAAGAGGGTTTTAGTGTTTTGAATTATTATTTGTGAAAGAGAGACCTAATCATCTTAAAGCTTCAACAACACCCTTACCTTTAAAAGTACTCTGACCCCCACTTGATGTGAACTAAGTTCTTAAGTAAGGAGAATTAGGGGTGACTTGCATAATCAAGAAGGCTACTTAAATATGCCATCCCCAGAAGTACTAATCTGATGAGTACTGTAGCTTGTGTGTTATGTTCTGCTTGTTTTTCAAGACCCTCTCAGTTTTGTCTTAGAAAATATGCAACCTACCCACAGTGAGAACTGAGGAAGAAAAAAAAGCAGATGCATTTTTAAATGATAGCTTATATTCTAGTGGGTTTTTTGCTTGAAGAGAATAAATTATAATAAGCTTTCATGCCCCAAGGTGCTGGGTGTGGAAGGGAAAGCAGCTGAGATTTACAGTACTCTGGAACAAAATTATCTCATGGATAATCATCCATCCCCAATGGCATTATCTTATTGTTCAGAGACAGTGGTTTTCCTTCTTAAATGATTTCTCTGGCAACCTGGATTCAATAATTACATCTTTGTAATGGTTTTTAAATAAGATTCCCCCCTGCTACTTTTTATGTGGGAGTAGTAGAATAAATACATTTAAGAAGACTTTGGTAGTATGCACATATGTCTTTCGGCTGCTTTAAAAATAAAAGTATGTTAAGTAGAGGATTCCTCCACAGTATTTCAGGATGACCATACAGTCTCAACAGGCCTTTGCCTTAATATTTTAACCTCTCAGTGGACTGATTATGTCAATACTAGGACATTAACTGACTGAACTTGCCTTAAAGTAAAGCTTTCAAATTAAAAGGTGCTGTAAGGAATAAAAGCAAGAGAAACTAGAAATTTTGGATCAAGCCTTACAGACCTAAAAAAGCCAAAATGGGTGTTTTAAGAACTGCTTCCTTGCACATATGTACATAGTACTCAGTTGGTTAGAGCACAGTGCTAATAATGCCAAAGCTTAATCTGTTTTAATATGGACAGTGGGAAGAACTGGCCTGTAATCTAAGCATTAATTTTAAGCAATAGGCATGATTAACAACCTTTTAAGCATTTTGTTTATTCAGTACTAATTGCATCTTCATATTTATAAAAGATTATTAATTTGAAACAATTCCAGTTAGCTGCAGTGCAAGTGATGCACAGATTGCTAAAAGATAGAAGCGTATTTGCTGTGAAGGGGAGTGCAAGCATTCCTGTGGATCAGGAAATAGGGTGTATGCTGTCAAGCATCAGTTTGGCATCTCACTAACACCAGATCTTATCTCCTGGTGCTTCTCGTGTAATTCCAGACTGCTTTTGGATATGGCACTAGACAGAAGGAACATTTTTTTTTGTTCATTAATTATCTTAAAATACAAGAAAGTGGAATTTAAGGGTCTGTTTCCTCACACATATACCCTCCAGTCTGTTGCAGGCAGCCCATATCTGGGCTACAAGAAGGCAGTCATCATCCTCTGGCTCCAAAGAGATATGATACTCCATGATACAACATTTTTTTCTAAATTATTTTGCCCAGTGGATCCAGTGCTGCAAAATCAGGGAGGTTGGAGAGAGGGAGAAGTACTTTTCCTCACTTCACATCACTGCATACCACTCTTGCTTTTCCCCCTTCCTCACTCCCACATTTTTATTCTGAAGACCATGAAAATTTTTCTAGTTTACTTCCTTTTTTCCTACAGCATTTCTTAAATATTCTGTGCCACAAAAGGAATGAAATAGTTTCTAAGTGCTTCAAGAGAACTTCTGAAATATTCATAACAGAAGGCATATATTTGTCACATGTATTTTTTTTCTCTGCAAGTTGGAACAAGCCCTGGAAGTCTCCCTTGTCAAGTACATGATCCTGTCAACTCAGTGAGAAGTCTTTGAAGCAGCTTTTTTACAGGTGTGCAAACACAGGGGCATCAAGTGACTTGTTGCTTACAAGCACCAGACTGTATTTCAGAGAAATATGGGAAATACTTCTTTCCTGCAACATTCTTACACTTAAGCCATGCTGCCTTGAGTGTTTATTGTACTTGTTCTTGTACCTTCCTTACAATTTAGTCGCACACACTAATTTTGCTCTCTAATGCTTTATCTGCTTATGGTGTAGTGCAACCTCAAACATCTTGGAAACCTTTCTAGTTTCATCACAGACCTAATTTTTAGCACCCAAAATGAGAAATTGAGGCATTAATTACAATGTGTGTCTATTACAAAACTTTCACTTGGGGCATAGAGACAGCTGACAGCATCCATAGCAGAGTTCAGTACGACCTGCCACTGTAAACCAATGGATGGTTTACAGTTGGATATTCTTCCAACGACGTGAAGCCATCTTGAGCATTTTGAATGGTTCTTTTCACATGTGAGGGAGATCATCTGTGTAATCTTTAGTTGCTTACCTACTTACAAGAGAAGACTGAACGTTGTCTAATCCATAACACTGCATAAATGCAAATTGTTGTCTTCCTTTAAAATAAAAGTGTAACCACTTTGGAAGGAAGCAAGGAGAATGTGTATGTTGGAGTGGAGAGGTCGTAAGTGTCAATTCCACAGCTTGATTCTGACTTGTAGGCAAGAGAGCAAGACTAATGAAATGCAGCTTTTCTGACATCAAGTGCTACTTATTAAAGCTTATTCTTGCATAAGCCTAAGGAAAATTTATTATCAGTTCCTTCTAATTGGAACTGATTAAGCAAGTCTGCTCATATGCAAAACAAAAAACACACTTCATCATACTTGTTGTTGGGAGCACAACCCTGCAGAATTAACAGGAGGCAAGATTTTAGGCTCTCACAAAACAACAGGAGAAGCAGCAAAACCCTATGTTGCAGTCAAGCAGACTGGAGTCCATTTAAGGTTCACCCAGATGTGGAGAAACCAAAGAGCTTGTAGAACTGTGCCACTCTTACACTGTCTTTTCAGAGAAGTGCACTTTCAAAACAAACTAGAGAATGATTTCTGGCAATCTCAGAGGCCTGCAGGTTTC